TATGAGTCAGCTGAGGGGAGTGGGTGCTGAGGTAAAGCTAGAGGTTTAAGCAGCCCCTTCCCCATTCATCACCATCTTGCTTAAAAGAATGCAATGCATCATCCTAAAAGAAAAGAGAGACAAAGACACAGAGGGCTATAAAACACAGGAAGTGTGTGTGTGGCAGATTGTGTTGCCAATCCATTTTTTTGCACTGTTATGCTTCCTATGCATGTGAGTCATTCAACGTGATGGGCAACATGAGAACAAAGGCAGGGAGTGACTTATTTATTGCTATAGCATGTGATCTCATACAAAACACACTTACGCACTAACTCAATATGTGTTGTTGATTCCACAGGCAGGTTAAGTCAAGAAAATAACACTGCGCTGAAGTCATGCCCTTTTCCCACGTCAGGAGGACCAACTGGCCCCATTACCACAGAAGAAAATACAACAAGACAAATGGCAGCAAGCTGGCCGTGCATTAAATCGAAGAGAGCAAACAGAACTTGCCTGGGGTGAAATTAGCAGAGTAAGTAAGAAGATATAGCTAAGCTTACTGTGTCCCCTCTGATGTATGACACTGAACAATGTAGCCTATCCGAGACCAGCAAAAAGGGCGTCTATCAGCGTCCTCGTGATGGATGTCAAACAGTGGTCCAAGTAGCCAGGCTAAATTAGTTATCGCTAATTAAAGCTACGTTACTGCCTTCCCCACAGCAGATCAGGTTCCATTGTTTGATAATGTTATGGAGCGCTTTCAAACACCAAGGCGAGGATGTCATGCGATAGCTGCAGTCTAACTGGGTTGCTGTGACTGACAGAAAAGCATGTTTCTGTTTATAACCAACATCAGATTGTGTAATCCTACACATGTTATGAAGGAAACATGATGATATCAGCAGTCATCTGCTTGTATAAGGTATCAGCCTGCTGTTGTCTACAATGTTAAACTTGACTTTATCTGATGTCGCTAAAGGATGGAGAGTGAACATAGACAATATTAGCTAAAGGCTGAGGAATGTGATGGGTGAGGGTCCTAAAGTTACTGACTTAAGCTGGGAAAAAACCTTGAGATGATTAAAACACACAAAGAGTGGACACTCCATACAAAACAATATATTTTCCCATATCTTTTACTCCCAACTGGCCCGCAAAGAAAATTATATTGAACACTTGAGTAAATACATTAGACACTCTGCAGGATGCCAGGTAGAATTTGATGAGAGTATGCATGCTGGAGGCGATAAAGGGAAAAACGTTGCGCTTGCCCCCAACATTGGAGAGGTTCTGGAAAAATTGTACTTGTGTAGACCAGCAAATACACACAGATGAAGATCCTTATGCATTACACATAATGATCATTACAAGTGGTAATCTTCAGTTTCTACTTTTGGTTGGACGAAATAAAAGGCGTTTGAAAACATCCAAATGTAAAATAAATATTGAAAAGTTTGCCCTTTGTTCCTTATTGCTGAGTCCCTGTTTTGCACAATCCCTAAAATTAGTGTGGGTATAGTTAGCATGACCCATGGAAAAACAATTGTGATATTATAGGAAACATGCCATGTAGAAAAAAAACATTTTTTTTTTTTTATCCTCCCAGAAGAACCAATGAATGATGTTTGTTCCAAAAGACAGAAATGTGCCTTCCATAACAAATCCACCTTAATATTTGGCCTTGCCGTTTTATATTCCTATTATCGTGGAAAGAGCAAAGGGAAGGTAATGCCTTTATTCTTATGATTTTGTGCGTTTGTATGTTTGTTCTTGTCATTGTGTCTGTAGGTATCGGTCTGAGACACTGATCAATTGGTCACCACTAACAAATCAATTGCCAGGTTAAGAAGGCAACATGCCTATTCATCTGCATGTGTCTGGAAGGTAAAGTTTGTGTGATTGTTTCATTTTACATGTATTCTGTTTTTGCACGTTTTTGTGTTGTGCAAACTGCAGTTTATATAGCACTCTAGATTAGAGGCGGAACAGACAGTTGCATACACAAAGTATCATTGTAGATATCCTGAGTGTAGCCAAACCCTCTTCTGAACTCTTCAAAAAGCATTGCAGCAGCAAAGGTTACATTTTGTTTGTGTACTTGTGTTCACATGGGTTTGATTTTGATAGTGAATTGATAGCAGGGTTAGGGTTAGGGTAATTGACTTGATTGTGACAAATTTGATCTCAGTGATATGCAGAAAAGGATTTCACCATACACAACAGAGGCCAAGTAAACAAAAAAGTGTGATTGAGAAGTTGGAAAAGGGCACATCAGATGGGACCAGTACCAGTAACATACAGAACGTCTTAAGGAATAATAACATCAATTTGAACCATGAGATCGAATTTGATACAATGATAAAGTAGCAACGCGCAGGAAAAACAAACCACAAAAGTGTCTAAACTTGAAAATGGACCCAAGCTTCTCATCTTTCTTTTTTTCTTTCTTTTCCCCCTCTCTGTTTCTATTGTTTGTTTATGTTTGTCATTTATTTTGTATCGCTACCATGGTGCCATATCCCCAACTGCAGAACCAACAGGAGAGTGGTTACCTTGACCACGGACGCCTCCTTTCTTCTAACTTCTTGTTTCCTTTCTGTTGCTCACACTGCTCGAGAAGAAGTGAGAGTGAAATAAAGCCCCTTGAAGTAAGAAGTGGAATAAAAGATTTAACATCATACTGATGGACAGAAACCTCCTTCATTTTCCGTTCACCTTGGCCTGAACTTTGCCTTGTGAGGCGAGGATGGGAGAAATTAAGGCGGGACGAGGATTGTGCATGGCTGCTTTGACAGGAGATAGAGGCCATGCATGTGGTGAGTGCGGACTTGGAAACCTGGGGGGATAACGAAGAATGACAGCCACCTTGTGCTAATGGCTCTACGGTGTCACTCTTTCAATGGTCTCACCCTGATGACATCATCGCTCCAAGCAGGAAAATGTCACAATGGCTTATTCAGGAAATCCATCAAATCATCTGCTGCTGCAGCAGAATTTATTGTGGGCCACAATGGGTGGAATGAGACAGACTTAAACATCTCTAAGCACTGTGTGTTTATTTCGTTTTTTTAAAAATGTATTTGTTTCAAGTTGAAGATAAAAAAACGAATACACTTACATTGTCAGTATTGTTTTTACTTTCAAAAGTTAGTCTAAGAACTGCTTTGAGCTTGATACTTATTGTTAACGAAGAGAATATTAACATGCATTGCTGATGTTTGGCAAGTGTAATGTTTACCATCATCATGTTTCAGCATCTTAATTGAGCATATAAACATTACATTACTATTTACCCTGAGGTAAACATGGATGCCTGTATCAAATGTCACTTTAATCCATCCAATAGCTGTTGACATGTTTCAGTTTGGATCAAAGTGGTAGACCAACCAACCGACCTTGAACTAAATCATTTTCGAATGTTGAATTTTTCTTCCTCTGAGATGGGTCTGTGAGGAGCTAAAGATTTCTTAAACACTATTCTCCAAAGGCGTAGCAAAGAAAAACAGTTCTTATTGAGCCTCTGTTTAACTATATACTCAGCTGGATAACAATTTTCCCCTCCTAATCCTTTTATGTTTGTCTCTACAAGGAAAACCGTTGGAGGTTGAGCCCCAGTATTATTTTCCAAAAAGGATTTCCGTAAGCAGGCTTAAAACCTGATCTTATTACTTTATAGGATTATTGCAAAGTTGTTGAAGTGGCGTCAGAGAGTAAGCCACCAGTGTAACTCTTCACTCCCTTCACATGCACTTCAGCATATCCACTTCCTTTGCAAAACAACATTTTCTCAAAGCACACACAAATGTATAAATCCTTAACTCTTACCTTTAAAGCCATTGAGTGTGAAAAGTGAAGCCATCACTCAACGAATTGCTAACAAGGCTATTGTGCGTGAGATTAATGGTCCCTCCAGGCCCCAGCAGACCGGACTGTGGATCTTTCAGAAGGAACTCAGGTTATGACAGGTCGACCATCACCTCAAAACATGAGAATAATACACAAGAGTGACCCGTATTAATACTTGCAAATTAATTCAGCATTACCATGACACTGAGTTTGAATGTGTGTGTCCATGTGTGACCGTATGCATGTGTGTGTGCGTACACATCTTTAATCACCATCACCATGACAAACGGTAAGGCTTAGGGGCGAAAGAAAAGGTGCCATCAGTGTTTTGGCTGGGTTGTGCAACCGTTTAATCAAATTAAAATATTCAGAGTTGAAAGAAACAGGCGAGCACTGAGAGTTCTGAAGCTATTCAAGCATGCCTGAATGAGTTGCTGAGGTTTGTCTTTGGAGTCAAAAGGAACGCTTTTTGCCTTTTAAGTCCACGGACAACTGCATTTATAACCCAGAGTGCGCTTTGTGTCTTGGCCAGGAATAGAAGAGTAAAGAGACAAAATGAATAGTGGTGGCACATTGCATTTGTCAAAGATTTAAACATCTTTTTAGATTTCAAAACTTTCAAGTATTTTTCATAGCGTAAAAGTAGCTTTTATATAGCCGCAACTTTACTCAGAGCTATAGACTTTGTTTCAGAAGTTGGGGGAGACAATGAAGTCTAAGGGTACAATATGTGTTTGTATTCGTATTTGTCACATTTATGGGATATAGGCCTACAACAAGTTGAAATACCAGAATGTCCCTTTAATGAACCACAAGAATAATACAAATGTGTTTATGTGTTTATTAAAAAAAACATGAAATTTGCATAGGCCTACCGTAAAAGGAATAGCCTACACTGAAACAGTTTGCTTATTTGTAGGCCTATTCAAATTATTTTGTAAAGGTCATACAGATAAAACATTGAATAAATTACATTTTTTATTTTGTATTTAGGTGAGAATGCCTACTATTATTACTTTGTTAAATTACATTTGACCATATTGTAACCCAGGTTATTTTTGTATTTCCAATGTACATATGTTCCCTAAACGCCTCGCCCATCGGTAGATGTACCCACTAATAACGTCTCCCACCGCGAGATACTGAGTGTAGACAGGTGTGTGACAGAAGCTCAGTTAGGTTAAGAAGAGTTGGATAAGAAACTTTAACGATGTTCAACGGAAAGCTGCAACTAAACACTAGGACAGGACAAACAACAGTTCAACTGTTAAACGGTAGCCTACTGCTGACTACAGTTAGTGAAGTTATAGTGTATGCAGGACAAACTTAGTGCGTTTTGTCCCAATTAACGTTGTGGATTCAGTTATCCTGGTGAGTTAGCTGCAAGTTACCTTGTTAGCATTACGTTTCTGTAAAGTTGAACGTGTATTATTTCACTTTGAGGAATCTGGTAAAGCAAAAATCTGTCCAGATATAACGTTTGTGTGATGTGAAGTAGGCCTATGGACCTGTGTTGTCGGCCTAGAAGCTAAGCTAAGTGCAACATGTAGCCGATAGCTGCTGGTCTAGCCTTTTTAGGACATGTTTACGTGTTGGAATTTGGGGCTAATGTGTGTGTGCTGTGAAAGTGTGTAAGGCTGTATGACTGCTGTTTGGTAATATGAGTTTTCAAAAGGAAATAGGAGGCAGACATGTTTATTGAAGTTTCTGTAAAGGGTTATGTAAATTACTGTATGATAGGCAGTGAAACTGGACAGCAATCGTGCTTGGTCTTTATGGTTGTTGTTCTGAACGAATGTGTTGAGCCTGTTTTCTTCTTTTTCTATTAAGGGTGGTGAATACTTTCTGTTGATAAAATGGAGCTGCTTCGACTGCTGCTCATTGGTGCTTGTGGATGCCTTCATCTTGTCTGGAAACTGACATTTGAATGCTGTGCTGTTCCATAGTTAAGGTAAGCAGCAAAACAGGAAGCTTAACTAAGCAGGTTTATATTGCATTTGCCCTATTTTTATTTAGAAGATGTCACTTACTTTTCTGCCGTACCAAGACTCACTAAGAGACTTGGCAGTTCAATGCTGAACAGCAAGGATTGCCCGAGGCAGTTAAAATAAAGGTTAAGAGGGTAACCTGGATTTGAAAAAAGGAAGTGTAATACATAACTGAAACGGTTTTAATAGATTGATTTGTATTCTATCCTTAGTCAGTGGTTGTGTTTGTTTTTGTGACATGGATGTCCTGACCGAACCTAAAGAATAGAGTTAAACTAGAGATCAAAGTTATCCCATGACCAAATCAGACTTTAAGATCCAGGGTATTATGGAAAACCAAATATAACGTATACTTAACCAGATATTGGACAAGCAGCACAGATAAACAACTAGGGAAAGATACTGTAGACATGTGACACCTGCATTGTTGTGACCATGTTTGCTATCTTGTTGTCTTATTTCATTATTGCCTTTGCTTGGATGTTGCACATAATACTTAGAGCCAATTGCAGTATTGTGTTTACGTCCACAAAACAGGGTCGCAGTTGTAAAACATTGCTCCAAAGCACAACTAATGGTCAAAAACTTTAGTTGAAACTATAATAGTTAGGTGAATAAATATTAAGTTTGTTTTCCCACTACCCAGTGGAAATGAATTGTTTTAAGTTTATTTCACTTATACGCAAAGGCCAGCACAATAGGAATGACTGGAATAAGGTCTCAAAACTCTGATCTTCTATGTTCTCACATCATGCATTCAATTGTTGATCACATGCGGAAGGCAGTGTCATTCTGATTGATGTTAAGCTATACAACATGTCCTCCCAAACTTTTGACAAGTAAAACATTAGCAAGATTCCCATGAAGGCCAGCTGCCTCAAGGCCTCTCACAACTGACATGAACCGCTCTGTATTTGACTGTCACCAGAAAATTGATTATTGCATTTCACCAAACTGGGTGTGTGTTTTATTCACAGGAAGTAAAGGACAAACGGCATGGGACCGCAAGGGTAAGCAATTTATTGTGCTTTTGTAGCTTTGAAAACCGGGTTTGTTCTCTCAATAAGTTTACATTCCAGAAAAAAATCAGATCTGAGATTACACCACTCAGTTACCGACAAATACATATAAACAGCTTGTGTTTCCTCATAAGCTTGTTCAGATGAGCCAATGCTGGCTGCAATACAGCAGAATATGAGCATATTGACTTGGATGTTGCAAAGTGCTTTCAAACATATTTTAATGAAAAGCATGGATACAATTTGGTATCAAATACTAACTTTCTATATATATTTTTTTCTGGCTGAAATGAAACTAACTAGTAGATTTCTATCAGTTATATCAAGCAAATATTAAATCTTAGAGTTGGTTGAATCTTTTCAGGTGACTCTGGAGAAAAAAAGCCTTCCATTTACACTTAACAGTACATGCTGTTTAGCAAAAGGGTCAATACATTGTTCACAGAAGACTAGACAGAAAACAGCACTTTTTTCATTAAATCTTTGTTTTTATATATTTTACAGAAGTGATGATTAGTTTTAATTTTTTAGTTGTCAGTTACCTCCCACTCTGTTTCCTTTGGACACAGTAACGGCCCGTCTACACTACAGGCATCAAAAAATCTTGAAGATGGGCGTCCAACAACCAATCAGGAATCTCCCGCCCGCCCCCGGCATACAAAGCAAAAAAAAGCCCGCTTCTTCAACGAAGTAAACTGGATATAAACTCCCCCAACAGTTGAGAACCTACCAGTTTCACCAACTGTCTCTGCCACCTCCCGCCATGCTTGGTTCCTCCGGTTTAGGTCCCGGTAGGTGAACAGAGAGCAGTCGTAAAGGACTGGGACACTTGCCACGGCAATGATTAATTTATCCTCCATTTTATGACATATGGAAAATAGTCAAGACCTGCGGTATCAGCATACACGCGGTTTGATTGGCTGCGCTTGCACTGGCGGGAATTGCATAAACGGGATTTGATTGGCTGATGTCAAGCATCGAGCCTCAAAAGTTGAACATTGTTCAACTTTTGATGCCGATAGATGCTCGTGATGCTTGCAAAGCCATGCCATGCTCCCCACAATGCAGTTCGGCGAAGATTAAAAATCTTCTACGTCACCCCATTCAAGTGAATGGGCGAAGCGTTGAAAGCATTTTTCGATGCCTGTAGTGTAGACGGNTGGACGTCAAAAACCCCATCACTGCCATGAAACGCCAGGGCTTGTACCCCCCTGCAGACCCTGCCCCGCTTCTTTTTGCCTCCTTCTCCATATTCTTCTCCTTTATTATTATATTAATATATATTATATGTTATGCTACATTACTAGCTGTCCATTCAATGTGAAAACGAAGTAAACTGGATATAAACTCCCCAAACAGTTGAAAACCTACCAGTTTCACCAACTGTCTCTGCCACCTCCCGCCATGCCTGGTTCCTCCGGTTTAGGTCCCGATAGGTGAACAGAGTACAGTCATACAGGACTGGGACACTTGCCACGGCAATAATTAATTTATCCTCCATTTTATGACATATGGAAAATAGTCAAGACCTGCGGTATCAGCATACACGCGGTTCGATTGGCTAGTGCTTGTACTGGCGGGAATTGCATAAACGGGATTTGATTGGCTGATGCCAAGCATCGAGCCTCAAAAGTTGAACATTGTTCAAGTTTTGATGCCGATAGATGCTCGTGATGCTTGCAAAGCCATGCCATGCTCCCCACAATGCAGTTCGGCGAAGATTAAAAATCTTCTACGTCACCCCATTCAAGTGAATGGGCGAAGCGTTGAAAGCATTTTTCGATGCCTGTAGTGTAGACGGCCCGTAACTGGCCCCCATGTAAGGGCACCACCAAAGTACGTCAACCAAAGACTAGCGCTCCTAAAGATATTTGCACATGCTTTGTGTCTTGGCCAGTCTGGGTTATTCGAGGGTTTGTTATCTTGGGTCTCCTTCATGCATTTGTTCACACCGCCCCTCGGCTCCCACACAGAGGTCCCAACTTTTTGCAGCCCCCTGCTATCACTGAATACACACACTCTATCAAACACACACATGCAGGTTCGCGCAGACATATTTAGTATAGTATATAAGCATGAGCAGGCACATGGAGACGGTAAACACTTGTACACATTGCCACTTCATAGAAGGAGCACATGCACGCTCAAGCACATGCACTGTCACACACATTTAGATGTTTTGGACCAAAAAAGGAAAGTTGAAATCCGGCCAGAATTCAGCGAGCTGTGTCTCCCAGACTCAGAGATTTAAATGGGTGTCCAAAACAAGGACTTGACCTTTGATCTGGTGCCTTTCAGCGCTGTGTTTCCTCACTCTGCTCCTTCTTCTAGCCTAATGATGGAGACACATTCCTACTTCCCCTGCTCATTCTTGGATTTCACTTCTGTCTCTTCCTGAAAACATGACAACAGAGTGTGTGGGATGGAGACATACTGTACATTAAATGCAGAATCTCATTCAAATTGGGTGAGTTTTTCAATCAAGAGATTTTCAATTGTTATTACCTCAAATCAATCCAGATAATACTGAAGTTAAAAGCCTAGGAAAGAGAAAAAAAAGCCTCAAGTGATGTCATTCGAGGACTGCAGTACAGTTACTACTAGTACTCCTTTTTAAAATGTAAGTTTGAGTTGATTTGGCGACACCTGTGGTGACTGGTTGTAATGCTAGGAACTAATACAAGTCCTACAGTTGCATTTTAAATGTCTAATTTATAAAATACTGGGTAAAGACATTGACCAACTTTTGCATATCCTTTGTTGTTTGGGTGTTATGGACATTTTCTCTATTTGATAAATTGCAGTTTTATGCTTACCTTCTCAAAAAAAGAATGTGCAATAAATGCATCATCATGTTTTCAGAGACCATTTGAATACAGCGTTTGAATGACAACTCAGCCAATCAATATAATTCACTAACCAACAAGATTATTGCTGTGGTCGTGTGATTGAAGTGCCTAACGCCACTAAGCTGCAATGATCACCCAATGCACAAAAAACTATTGCTAAGTATATTTTACTTATTTTTATTTGAGTGATTGCGTAAATCGGTCAAAATTCCTTTTGGTTACACAGTTCATTATTAATATTCCTTAACCCTTTCAGGGTCTTGGGAAATATAGGGCTTCAACCTCCATTAAAAGAGGAGAAGAAGATCTCACTTGTCGTGATCTAAGTTTTCTATTCTCAGGAGGAGACAAAAGAAAGTTGAGTCAGACTATATAAAAAAAGGAATAAACCTCCCTCGCGTCTACTTTTGATATAGCACCTGTCACTGTACAGTATAGAAGGGAGTAGAGTTAAATCTCAGGAGCAGATAAATTAAATGCACACGTTTTGACAAGTTCTTTCTGTCAACACAGGGGCGAAAAGGCAGGTCAACCATATGAGCCTCGAGCCAGCAGAGCCTGTAAACCGATCCTCGTAGTCTAAGCACATCCTCTGTGTTGGGGTCCCTTTGCTGCCAGGCTCACACACACTGGTGCGTGCACACATACTTGCATTCCTCTGCAGGCTCTGCGAGGGGCAGGCGCAGAGTGTGCTGTATGCTTGGCGCTGTTCTTCAGAGTGAGCGTCTCTCTCACTCTCCCCAGTCGTTAAGTCAGAGAGCAGAGGAGGAAGGGAAGGCAGAGAGTCCAGGGGAGGTCTGACGACACCATCTCAGCTCGCTCGGCACCTTATTTTAAATGCACAGATGGATCAATGCGAGCACACAGTCTGGCTTTGATTTCCTGGAGAAACATCAAGATTTATAACAGAGCTGTCACACTGCAAGACATGCGTGCAACTTTCCCGGCCAGGATGAAAACTTAATGTACGTTTCCAAGGTGAGAGAAGCAGAAGCTTTCAATGCTGGAGGTCCAATGTAAGGATGGATGACACAGGCTAACAATGTTCCTCACCACCTTCTGATCCAGCTTTAAAGGAACATCCAGCTAAACAAAGAAGATAAAGTAACTGAATTCACCTGCAAACTTTACTCGAGGCTGATATGATGCTGTGGTACAACTTTGGGCGGCACTTAATCTCGCTGGGAGCATTTCTGGTGATCGTGAGCTGCGGAGGAGGGGAGCAGCGGAGAGGGACAGAAAGCAGCAGCAGCACAGGTGGCAGCAGCAGCAGTAGCAGCAGTAATGGAGGAAGTAGTAACAGTAATTACAGCAACAGGAAATTTCATAAGATCCAGCATGGCCAGTGCACCTATACATTCATCCTACCTGAGGGAGACGGAGCCAGAGGAGGCGCCTGCAGGGAGGCGAAAGCCGGTAGCCCAGAGCACAACTCTCTCCAAAGAGACGCTCCGCCAACTGACCCGGAGTTTCCCAGCCAGAAGATCGAGCAGCTCGAGCACATTATGGCGAATTACACCCAGTGGCTACAGAAGGTAAGGATGCATTTTTTTTTTTTTATCTGATTGTCGGTTGTTTGATATTGCGTCACATTTTCTAAACGGCAGGTCAAATGGGAATGCAGTTACATTTGTCTTGTTTATTTAGATTCATGCTGAAAATTGTGCGTATTGAATCGCGTCGACAACAACCCTGCATGTGACCGGCTCTAGTTTCTTTTGAAGTGGTCACGCTGTAGTTTATTTGTTGTGATATTTGTGTTTCCTTGGGTGTGTGGTCTCCGCAGAGTGTCTAGTTTGTGGCTTCACAAGATAACTTGTTTTGGTTTCTGGATGAGGCTCTCAAACTAAATCCGGGCCGTGTTTGCTGTTTTCTTGTAGTCCCCACATTATTTGTCAAAGTGTTTGTCAGAAGAAGTGTTTATGTGCTTTAAAGGGAAAGGATTTTTGTTTGGGTGATTCTATGTTGCCAGACTCAAAGTGAAATGAGGAGTGGTGAAAAAGTGCACAGAAAATGTGGATAAACTGGATGCAACATATTGTAAATTATTATAAAATCTCAAAATAAGTTTGGTCAACTCACAGGATAGCTGTATTTCCTTTGTTGCCGATAATTTACATTTTTTAAAACAAGGCTTCTATCAGAAAACAGAATGTGTATTTAATAATCGATAAGACAGAGTAAGCAACATGATTTATACTATCATCCCTGCTATGCTGTTATGTAACTGTGTACATTGGCTGATTTGAACTTTTTGTTCTGGATGACTCACAGCTGTCTGGTATTCTGGCTTCTCTAGACATCTTGTACTGCTGCGACTCCGGTCTGCCGCTATGTAGCCGACCAGCAAACACTATCTATTTTTTACAACTTACTCTTTATTTTTCCCTGAGTAAACTACCCTTTAAGTAAATTCCACAGATGTCCCATTGAGTTGCACGGAGCGTCGGTCATAGAGCAGAGGTAGTTACATGTCAGTCGCCCCCTGTTCTCCAGTGGGCTGTCTCTTTAATGGCAGGAAGTCAGAGAAAGAGCCCCTAGAGACACTCAGAGGAGGAACAGACAGAGAAAGAGAATGCTCCCTTATTTATTCAAGCCAAGGACGTGCGAGTACAACTCGAAAGTCCAGACTTGAATAAAAGAAGAAAACGAACCTGTTTGATTCATCTGTATAATAAAAGCAACATAATCTTCATTTTGTTTTTTTTGTTTTTAGAGCTGATATGATGTATAATAACTCACATTTAATAAGTCTTTAACAACCAAATTACAATTTATTTATAGAGCCACCAAGGTGTGTACTATGTTCAAATATGGTTCTACTGTAATGTTAATGGGTTGCAAATCGGGAGGCCATCACTGATATGGCTTGGCAGGCACTTTGCTTTTCTAAGCTTTGAGACTTTGTGTCTCCAAAGAGAGCGAGACTATCTTTCTGAAATGAATACTTGAATCAAATAAACAAACTTCCAATTTCGGCATAACCGGCTCCTCAACTTTCCAAAATATTGTTCTCAAACAAGATTAGGAGGCTTAATCTGTGATTAATTGCTTAAAGCTAATGGTTTATTTTTTTGTCTGCAAATCTTTTGCATGCGCAGATAACACCTGATGGATTTGATTGATTACAGAGCGACTGGGAAAATGAATCACCCTGAACTTCATCAATACCCCAACTCTTTTCATTAGCAATAAGCATGTCCTCCCCAAATCTGTCTGAGCTACGCTGGTGTGTGCCTGCTTTTCATTTAGTCTCAGAAAGTAAACTTCTCACTCCTCAGGTTATAGGAAATAGTCATTCCTCATCAATTACCCAGGCGTTGGTCGCAGTATGTTACAGCAAGATGTTGATTGAGTTTGTAATTAGGGAGGTGTTGTATTGGAGGCGGCTCCACCCTCCTGCAAAGGCAGATTATGTTACTTAAGCTAGAGCAGATACAATTCCGATAAAATACTGTATGAGAGGTATTTTGAGTTTACAGTTCAGAATCTGTGAAATATCAGCTTATCATCGGTACTGTATATTACTGGCTTTATCTCAGTTTAGTGTAGGAATTCAATGTTCATGGTGTATGTCAAGGTTTAAAACATGGTGTACATGTATATATATTCACCATCAATTGCATTTTTTGATTTTGACGGCTGAACACAAATATGCTTTTATCTAATCAAAGAAACAGAAAGGCCTGCACCTTTTTTTTTTTGATGAGTTTCTACACCAGTGTGCTATTTTTTAAAAGTCTGTAAACCTGTGTGTTTCTGCATTGCTCCCAAAAGCGATCCATGTGTCAAGAAAGGCCAGGGGTGAAATAACACCGGCTGTATCTTTGCTCAGTGGACCTCATCCGTCTGTGATAGTACAAGTGATACTATGAAAACACAACGGCAGCGTTTGTAGGCTGAAGGTTTGACTAATGAGACCTCTCGTGTAACTTTCTCCTTAGATTTGAAAGGGTGTGTTTGAAAATGTCTGCCATCACCATTTATACTGTCATACCTCTTTCCTGACACTCTGGAGTTTTGCTTGACTGCACATATACTTCATTTCAAATGTAAAAATAGTTTAAATTATTATAACATTTCTAGAATAAACATCGCTCTATTAAGTAATGTCTGATGTTTGTAAAACATAATTCCCTGAAAGAATGGGCTTTTGGAAAATATCAAACTTTAAAAAAACACAAAGTAAAAGATTAACAGAAGAAAGGAATTGGCGTAGACATTTCAGAGGGGACACTTAAACACAGTGGTAATTCAGCCTAATTGCACTGCATGGGGGGGAACATCAGGATGCAGTTAACATTTTTCATTGGACAGAAGATTAAGTGTCCTGGCCAGTCTATCTATCTCAATCAAGCCAGCCTTTTTACTGCTTGTCTAAGTGAAAGCTCGCCCTGATGTTGCTCCAGCCAGTCCTGATGAAAGAGACGGACGGAGGAGACCGATCCAGATAGCACACCCGTGGGTCTGTGCTCAGTTCAGTGTGGGGGATAGACGGGAGAGAATGATGCAGCAAACAGCTGTTGGGGAAGCATTTTAAGTCAACGCAGGGTAGAGTATATGGACCCTGATAACATTCCTGACCAGTCAAAGGTGGCTTGTGTTTGTCCAATGATTACTTCCCTGGCCTTCCAGCAAGGCAAGGAGCCTCAGACAAGCTTGGCTCTGAACTCAGAGAGAAGATGCAGCAGAAAACAACTTACTGCAGCCACAAATCAAGTTTAAAAACCGACTAATCAGATAAACTACATGAAATCACAAACTGGAACGACAGTCAAATGCAAGAAAAACCAACCTCAAACTCATTTAGCAAAAACTGCTGTTACATGTTTTTTATTGTCTGAAGTTTTAGGAAAAGAGACATTCAAACAAGGGATATTAAGAATTCAATACCTGCTCTGTCATTTAAGACAATTTTCCTCTTTCTTAAAGTGTTGAGTTTTGAAAACAAACTCTAATCACAGTGAAATGTTGTTGTAGTTATGCTAGTTTGGCTTCTTGATCAGAAGTGCAATGAGGATTACTCTTGTTGGAAACATGAGAATGGATGGGTTTTAAGGATAAATATAAGGCTGACTCTATGAATCATGCATTTTACAACACGTTCAGAGAATATCCTTTCTTCTTTCATTAATATTTCAAGGACAATGAAACTTTGGCACAGATAAAAGTTTAGCAAGCTACATTTTGTTTCTGCTTTTCTGAGAGAAAGTAATGGATCCTCTCGTTTCCCTCCTGGCGGAGATGGTAACGAGTGGTTGAGAGCAGTGTTTCTTGAAAAGGCTGGCCTGTGCCAAACTAAGCTGTTGTACAAAGGGAGGGGAAATAACTATCCACACTCTTATCCCTGTGAAAATCCCATCATTCTGCCTCTCGAGAAACATGTACTCTGCTGCATAAACAGTGTTTTAAAAGGATATATCGACATGTGGGCAGCAGCTTGTTTGCCTTACATACTGGAAGTTCATACGAGAAAGGGTGAATATGTGTCTCTATTTAGTGCTATCAGAGGGCCACACAGCATGCCTAGGGATCCAAGGAGAAAGCTATCTATTTTAGGGGTGACTGCCTCTATGAGAGTTTATTTTCACTGATAATGT